TTTTGGGAGTTTCCAAATCTTTCCATGAAATCTTCTAGTATGTGTAGGGATGTGTGAGGAGTTTTGCTGCTGAAAAACACACACACTGAAACACACACACACACACACACACACACACGCACACACACACTATACACACATTCGAACTGCATGGTAGATGAAAAGAGGTGGACGTAAAAGAATAATGTGCCTGATTCTGATGGGAGACAGTTGCGAGGGATACAGGGCTGCATTGAGGATTCTCTTTCTCTTATTCTCCCTGAATCATCCCCTTTTTCCCCTTTTGCCTCTTGTTGCCATCACAGCTGCAGCAGGGCTTGGCAACCCCACAGCTCTAAGGGCCAGTCTTCCTTGATTCAAAAGGGTGTGATGCTTGTCAGTGTGTTATTGGCAACTCAGTGCATCTGGGGCTACAATTTAAATGTATGGATATGTGTATAAAAGAGGGATCAGTGTAACCCTGAAGGTCAAAGGTCATGTGTAGCTGGAGTATCTCACAGAGTATTCACACCCAGGCAGTTATTGCACGATAATCTAATTTGTCAGTCATCATGTCGTAATCGATTAAGCTAAAGCCACCTAACATACAGGTGATTTACATACTCTATAATGTTAATCCACACATTTTAACAGCACTCTGTTTTATCATGGGAATTTTTTATGTCATGTAACACTTTTTGCTGTTCATAGTTGTTGTTTTAATAGAGTAGTAATTAATATAATACATAATCATATATGTCAAATTCTTCGTAACGTATGTGTATACATACCTATAAAAGTGGATATAAGTTGACAGCAGAATTCTGTTCATTAGTTGTATTTCAACTTAATGTATCTAAGATGCGTGCAACCTTGCACTTAATCGCTTGGGGTGATACACTGTGTGCAAATCGGATGATACATATAACCAAGTTGCATTAAAGTGTTTGAAACACAAGCATAAGATTTAACAAGACTGTGAGTCTACAGACATGCTAGCGGCTCTGTGAGGCTGTACCTATAGGCACAGCAGTGCTTTGAGCTAAGCGCTAACGTCAGCATACTAATATGCTCAGAATGACAACGCTAACATGCAGATGTAACACAGGTATAATCTTCACAGTGTTCGCCTTTAATACAGCTGAGGCCGATGAGAATGTCATTTGTTTGGTAGGTTTTTGGTCATAAGTCGAAGATATTGGTGCTACAGGAAAATATTATGACTCTTAACACAGCGATGAACAATATATGAACGCATACTTATCAAAACCAACTGCCTTCTGAGAGTGAAAACAGGAAATATGAGCCAAGTTCCCTAAAACAAGTAAATGATGATTACAGAATACCAGAAGAGATCAGCCACAAGTAACTAAACTCTCTCTGTGTCTCTCCTGGGACCTTTACCCCAATACCCCCCACCCCTTCCAACACCACCACCCTTCCCCACACCCCACCTCAACCCCCATATATCAATTTCCTTTAGATGTTACCCCTCACACAATTGAAGTAACTAGATTCTTTCCTTTGGCTGGCCAGTGGAGATATGAAGCAGAACATACAATGGGCTATTCATTAAGGTAGCAGCGCACACACACACACATCTCAACCCCATTCATCCTCACCCAACCAGCACCAGTAGCAGCGCTGTCCATCTCTTAAAGCCTACACACACACACACACACACACACACACACACACATATTTACCAACTATATCCTGTAAGAGAAACGCATGTAGGCACGCAGACACAGACACACCGTCTCACAAGGGCACACAGAAGCACATGCAAATACATAGCCAAGTAAAGCACACTCACACAACATCCCACCTCACTCCCCAGCTGCAGTGAAAGCCCATCCAAGTTCTTGCCAACCCCTCTCTCTCTCACACACACACACACACACACACACACACACACACACACACACACACACACACACGGTTTTTACCCCTCCTTCCTAACCAGTAACTTGGAGAAAGACAAGACGAACACAAAAGAATAGGAACTTTGGTGGTATAAGCACAAAGGCACAATTCACAGACATTCAAAAGGGGGACCTATTTAAATGTAACACAGCTGCATGAATTTATTAAGAAAGATGAACGGGGAGAAGAGATCAGGAAGATCTTGTGGAGGGTTGAGTTATTTTTATTACCCGTTTGAAGGTTCCCTGACCTTTTAATTGGGGATGTAACTGATATTTATCACTATTAGGGAATAATTAATAAATTGTTAAAGCTCAGTACTTGCCCCTTCATGTTGGATTACAGTAAACTACTTTTAAAATGGAGGGATGGTCTGATGCTTAGAAAGAACAAGCGACCTTTACACCCCGACAGGGTTCCTGAGCAAGACTGTGAATCCCCCCGTCACATCTGACCTCCCTGTAGGGTAGGAAAAGTCATATTGGAATACATCAATCTCTCATTATTGCTGCCATTATTCCAGAGCAACTCATGCTTGAATGCTGCTTTTAGCACAAAATATAAGACAGAGTTGATTACAATAACTTAATAACTGCAATAAAAGCGGCCCACCAGATCCGTCTGCAAGGTTGACTGATCCACTTCAACAGGGGAATACCGACACACCGGCTTTGTCCTGCACAGGTGCATGCAGGTATAGAGAAAGAGTGAATGAGAGAAAATTAGCTTAAGAGCATCACAGAGAGGTAGAGGAAGAGTGTATCTGGGAGTACGAAAGGGATATAAGTAGCGTTCAAATGATTCAGTGACTCAGGATGTGTGTTAGACCTACACAATTGCATATGTTGAGACTTTTGTTTACATATCTGCTCAGACTTTTGACAACACCACACTAACACCACTACCAGGTCAGCTGAACAGATTCCTGCCTCTTGTGAGTCAGGAGGAATTTGTTTGTGTGAAACTGAAAAAAAGGCAGAAAGGGCAATACTCCCATCTTGGCACTTTTGCTGGAGAATGCACCACAACACACAATATAATACACACCAGCCACATAACTAATACAATATCCAAAACAACTTTATAGTTCACAGTAAGCATGCAGCAAGTAATGTAATTGGAAATAAGGGATGTTTCATAAGAGTTTATCTTTTTGATTTGGCTGTGAAATTGGTTGTGATTCCTTTTTAATGTTAATAAATCACAGCACATTTAAACATACATGTATTTTATATTCTAATCTGGCTCGACCTTAGTAATTTCTCTGGCATTATTTCATCTATACCCAGTTTGACCTACAATTCCAATTTCTTGCTACATTGTTAGAAATGTGTATTTGTGGATACTTGTTTGTAGAGACTGACATCATCTGGCTCCAAAGATCAGCAAATAGCAGTCAATGAGTTCAGTACCTGATTTTCACCAGTACATGATTAGGATCACAGGTTTGGATTTGAGGTTTTGGATTTGAGGTTTTGTTACAATTTCAAGCTCCATATGTATTTAGTTATTTTTGAATTGATTTGTTTTGGAGTCTGTTTCCCTCCTAAAACACACAGATCAAAATTTTGGTCCTGATCCAACTAAATATATACTTAGAATACATAATATTTAGCAGGACTGTATAAAGTCAGGTGGAGATTATGGTGTGTGTGTGTTTGTGTGTGTGTACAGCTGTGATTCTGGCCTGGCCCCGGGCCGCTGACCCATGGTCTGCTGACCTTTAACTGTCACACTATGTGTGTGTGTGTGTGCTTCACAACAAACTACATCATCTCCGTCATATGACTGAACAAGTTGGTATCATTTTGAATGGCTGTTTGTGTGTTTCATCTCTGGTTTGCTCTGTGTTCATGTTGTTGCTAAATAGTTCAGTCCATTAAAAATAGGCTATCTTCAAATGTAGTATTTACTTTTAATTTAAAACTGTTCTGCAGAGGGAGTCTCAAAAGTTGCATTGGCTATTATGTGTACAGCGAAACCAATCATTCTGTAAGATCCATTATATTTACGACTTTTCTACATTTTTTGGTTCTTTTGTTACTTTTAAATATAAATCCATTTTTATTATGACATTTCATCAATCATATCTCAGAGCAGACTTTTATTAAACATTACCTCGTTTCCATCAAAGTCTATTCATGCAAGGAACATTTTAACTATTGTTCAAAGGAAGCCGGTTACACAGTAAATAATTCACTAATTATTATTTCTTAAAAATCTACCAAATTCCACTGAGACATATTTATTTTAGTTGGTTTTTTTTTATAGCTTAGTATTTTTGCAGTTTGAGAGTTGCTGCAAATATAGGCCTATTTATTTTTTCTTTGAAAAAATGTAAAGCTACTTCAGTAAAATGTATTAATTATTAAGTAAAATTGTACATTTTATGAGTAGCATATAACCAGCGACAAGACAATGATTTTTTCCCATGTAGCCATTTACATAGCCCTATTATGAAAACCATAGGCTGAAAAAATAACGATCTTAAATTACAGACTGATTCTTAAAGTTTTGGCTCAAGAGAATTTGACAAGCAGCTTTTGGACGCCTTATAACCTAAAAAGTTTTTCTCAGTATTAGTAGCACTGGGGTATTATTCGACAGCAGCATTAAACTATCAGATGACTTAACGTTTCTCTACCTCTCTTTGCTTGTTCAATTTATCTCAGTCTGAACGAAGACTGTCAGACTGTCAAGCCACCAGTCATTATTAAAAGGCAACAGCAAATGTTATGTATTTAGGAAATTATTAAAAATAGTATGTCTTCTCCTTTTTAATTTAAGTAATCTCACTGATAGCTCTAACAAATAACAAAAAAAATCCAGAAAATATATTTTGAAGCATTTTGTCACAGCGCCAAATTTCTAAATAGAGGCGAAACATAAAATTCGACCCAATTCCTGGCTTCTTTCATTAACCAGCACATTTCTGTCAAACATCTTGTGGCCTTGGAAACGTGTTACATCAATTGACATTGGTGGTCTCACCTAAACGTCATCAAATCATGTAGCAATGTAACTTTGTGGTGCCTGTTAATTTCCCGTCATTGCACGCCCTGCACAAACACACACACGCCAAAACAAACACTCACGTCAAACCGAGGCAGGGCCGCAAATCCTCCATTACGCAGCTGGAGAGAAATCCCCGGAGTGGCTCTTTGAAGGTCCCCGGTTTAAAGCCCCAGGAACCGGACAGTCCCACCTCAGCTCCCCGGGCTGAGTCACCGCGCTCCTGGAGCATTTTATGTCAAGAGTTTGTTGGTACGCGGACAAAGAGTGGGGGAAGAAGGGAAGACACAAGCCTTTTCCTTCTTTTCTTTTCTTGTTTCATATGCACAGAACTGCTTTTTGTTCCCCTTTTTTTCATTTAAGGGGGAAGGGGGTGCTCGTTTTGATCACATGATTACAATTCACCTGAGATAAAACAAAGGAGGCACAGAAAGGAGGGGAGAGGAGGAATCAAAGAGGCAGAGAATCAGACAGAGAGATGCACTCATGGTTAGGATTCCCTTATCACAGTCAACATTAATGGATAATGAAAAAAAGTGGTGATTTTTGGAATGGGTGCCAGTGTGTCGCATGGCGGGGATACAAGGGGTCATTGTTGTGAAGAACAGCGCTTGTGTTTGTATCCATGCGGCCCATAATGTCCCCTCTCTTCTCTCCTTTCTGTATTTTCTACCAATACTGTTCGGTTTAAAACGCGCGCTCTGCGGCTCTCAGTTAGAGGCGCTGATGCAATTACAGAACATGAAGAGGCACACTGTCGGAAGCCACACAATGTTTTTCAAGGGCCTTTGAATGTTGTCTACACCTGCGATGTGGTGGTGAATAGAAAAGCGTGTGTGTGTCGGGGGTGGGGGGGGGGCGTCCTTCACATGAGTCTTTGCAGTTGGAAATTCATTAGCCTTGTCTTTTATAAATGTTCGGTCCAAACAAATGAGCATTTATCTGTTTGTGTTGAGAAATTTATCCCCCTTTTCTCCTCTCAAGAAATGGCCAGGCCTCTGATTTCTTTTTATTTGTGGCTATGTCAGCGACAGAAAACTGTGTTGTCTCCGACCATGTTCTGAAATCTGAAATTAAACTGTGTCTGATTCATCAAATATCATACCCTACACGTGAGAATATTTTTTCTCAGCTGACTAGTTGTCCGCGAATCCCCTGCAGCAGACCCTTTATTTTATCTTGTAGTTCATGTTAGAATCCAACACTTTCCTTTGGGGTTCGTTCCAACTATTTCTCATTTAGATGCTGGAGGGAGCCTGTAAATGAAATGGTCATTTTGGTTTCTGACAAATCGCAATTGTCATAACTGGACTTCCTCTCAAGCTCACACTACAACAAGGCCTGCATAATTTCTCAGGTGTGAAATTTGAGTATACACCTACATAATTTCTCAGGTGTGGAATTTGAGTATACATCTACATAATTTCTCAGGTGTGGAATTTGAGTATACACCTATAAGGCAAATAGGGATCTCCCCACGTGAAATCGGTTGTTCGTGTACAAATGAAAATATTGTAGCCTACTTGTAATGGTCAAAACTGTTTTATGCATAATTTAGGCATGCCTGTACCAGACTATTCAATCTCAACTCATGTGAGAGAAACAACAAACAAAAGTGCAATTTTGCTATCTATCTCTCTCTCTCTCTCTCTCTCTCTATATATATATATATATATATATATATATATATATATATATATATATAGAGAGAGAGAGAGAGAGAGAGAGAGAGAGAGAGAGACTTCAACCAATCAGAGATCTCCAGCCTGCATCCGAGCAGTTGCGCTGTGCCTTTAAGACTTGTCCACCCCAGTATCTTTTATTTTTTTCTCTCAGCCTCATACAAGGAGCTCTTTAAGCCCCGGTACCGACACACAGAGCAGGCATTCATACTCGGGCAACGCGAGCGAGGGGGCTGGGGAGCGAGCGTCACTTTGGAAACTCGGGAACTCACGGATTCTCGTGCTAAACCGGCGACCTCCTTTTCTCATTACTGAAGTAAGGCGCTTAGCATTTCCAACTCTTTCCTCTCTGCTGCTGGTGGCTGCTCTGACTGTGATTTGATTATTTCGTCTAGCCGGATTCATAGAGAAGAACCCCGATTCAGAATCTGATAATCGATAACATTTCCATGATTATTATTAACAACTCTTTCAAGATTCGTGATTTTGTACTGTGGTTCTATAATGGTCCAAATTGACCGATTTGTTCTCTCTGAAAGTTTCTTGTGAACTTGAAACTTTGTGAATAGAGCTTCTAAATGTATTTTCAGACCCGGTGTTGAATGAGCCTTAAGAACAATGTGTGATGTGTGAAGTGTGATGGTCATAAACAAAGTAACCTCTGTCATGAACCTTGTAATTGCAGCCATTATTTTATCAGTGCAACAAGTGCACCTGTTTTAAATCATTTTCTGTGTCCTTGTCATTTTTTTGTTTGGACAGTCTTTCTTAACACAGAATTTAAAAATCACGCTGTTCGACTTTCTGTTCAAATAATTTAGGAGAATTGCTTAAACAGTTTCTTAACGAACGAAGAGGCGTTTTTAGAAGTTGCAAGAGATTATGAAACAACTGTAAACGAACCCCGACCCAGTACGCAGGATAAGCGGTTGACGATGGATGGATGGATGGATGTAAACGAACATTATTGACTGATTATAGATGTGTGAGACAAAGTGGCCTTATCTGGAATTTGGCGCAGATGGAAAAAAGTAGCTCTAAAAAGTTAACTCTTATAGTGCACTTAATTTAATTGCATCTTCTGATCTGTCCTATATCCACTGTTGTTTTGGAGATGTGAAGACTAGAAAACTAACTGAAAAAAAAAACAGCTAAAAAAGTTTCCAAACAAGAAAATTAAGGGCAATTCCCTGGCAAGTCAAACAGCAATAATGAGTTCACATAACCCGAATTCATTGCGCGCAGTAAATGTGCTCATTAATGTAACAAGCATGATTTGAGGGGTTTGTCAAAAACAAGTTATTTTATACATTATCAGATAATAAATATACACAACAAATTATATTTGCTGCTGCAGATTGATGGGTATGCCCAGTGGATAGGCCATTAGTTCATTATTCGCTTGTTTGTTCCAAAATAACTAACATAGATTATAACTAATGTGGCAAGTGAAGAAAGGAAATAATCAGCATTCAGTCGATCATTGCTGTTTCCTTTTTTTTTTTCATTAGAGTAATTCAAATCAAGCAGCGTGTCGAGCAAACAGGGGAAACAACACGTGCGTAACAAGACATTTGGTGCCTTGCGCACGGTGTTTACGCATTGTGCCTCTGCAGCAGGGACGCTTTCGAGAAATGATGACAGTCAAAAAAGTAAAGTAAAGGCAAAGTAGCCTTGCAGACCAGCTGGCAGGCGAATATCACTATAAATGCGCCTCGAACAGATGGTGAAGCTTTACACTCCCCTCAACTGGAAAAGAATACGATTCCTGACATGTTAATTAAAAACTGCTTTTCGGTAAATCAGCGAACAAAGCCAAATAGCCTATGCCATTTTTAAAATGATTGATTTATTAAAAAGTGTAGGCTACTTATGGTTACTTTAAAATAAAAGCAAAAGTCCAACGGAGAAATGAGAAGGCTAGAAATGCCTATATCTGATCAGAAAGACATATATAGTGGTATGGTGTGTGTCTGTCTTAAATATAAGGCTAAACGTTAAAAAAGTGAACCCCTTTCTCAAATATAAAGACGAGGTGGACTGAATTAAGTGTGTAGCCCATATTAATCCAATAAACCTACACATGACACTGACTGTTACATTGTAAAGCTATTTCATAATGTCACTGGACGTGAGCTAGATCACCAGTTTTCAGGTAATACGATACCGAAGTAGAAAACAAACCAGCGGGCTGTGCGTCGCTGGTTCGCAGGAAGTTCGCTGATTTAGGACGTAAGGTTCGAGACAGGGTGTTGATTTAATACACAAAACAAGTACCCATTTCACTCCCGCCGATAGACCTGCCCCTGTTTAACAAACAGACTGTGTCTAATTCATACACGCGTACTGACACGCACGCATACGGGGTTTATATTTCCAACGCCAGGCCATGTTTATCCAAGAAGTGCAGAGTATAAATCCGAGGTCTGTGCTGCTGCGGCCTCATATCATTCCAACACTTTCTCTCCGGGGAGCTTGGAAAAACTGCAAAACCTTAAACAGTAGCATGTTGGGAGGGGAGGGGGGAGGTCCAGGCTTGCAGAGAGGCACTGCGCCATACAGGAGCTGAAACTCTCTAAATATGCCTACATAGCCTGTTTTCACGTAGGCCTATCATGAAAATAACTGAACGTTATGCAGACCCACTTCTCAAACTTCCACAAAGTTTCTAAAGGCCTACTACTATGGCACACCTTAACCTTTCTGATAATGCGGTTTATCCATCCATCCATCCATCCATCGTCAACCGCTTATCCTGCGCACATGGTTGCGGGGTAATGCGGTTTAGGTCTCTGTAAATAAATGCTGAATAGACACCAGGTAAACCACTGAGACTAGTTCAGCCCACCTTCATTTCTCACGGTTTTAACGAATAGGCCTATTGTACAGGCCTACTATGAGTCTTGCCTTCCTTGAAAATGTCTCCAGCAGTCATGACGTTTAAAAGAATCACCTGAGGCACCTCATATCTATATGCGTGTTGCTGCTAGTGGAGTGAAAAGTGGAGACAAGGGAGGGCCCACAAGTGGACTATTTGATTGAGGAAAAAATGGAGTCAGTCTTTAGGTTTTAGGTTTTTTAAATGAAGACTTGACTTGGCCTAGTTGTAATAAAAAAACGGATAACATCAACTTCTCCGTGGAGCAGGCAATAAGCGCTCAGGAGTTAGTGAACTTTTTGTTGCTTAATGAAGCAGAGTCACTCTACTTCTGGCTTGTTTGAACTGACGATCCTCATCGCTCTCCTGTTTCAGGTTCTTGTTGTCGGATTGCAACCGTGGGACACACAGAGGAGAGAGAGAAGGGGAAGTCAGGAGGGAAGTAAGACCGGGTGAGTTTGGCGCAGACAGCTGTGTATTAGCAGGTAAACTGGGGTCCAAGGTGCGCACTGAGCCGCCTATGATACCAACAACACGGATGGAAAGAACTTTAATGTGGAACCCTCACAGAGTTTTGCAACGGAGGCTGAGAGTAGAGACAGACTGGCAGTTTATATTATAACTTAGAGGAGGCCAAAGGGACAGATCAGACCTCAGTCAGCCGACACTACGCGCTTCACTGTAGGGATAAACAGGAACAAGGACCCGACAGGTAGCTAGAGCTGAGCATTTAGGAACAGGCCTTGCACCCTCTACGCACCTGGAGGCCTGTGTGTGTGTGAAGGAAGATGTCCAGAGAAGAGCAGAGTTTATCGGAGGTTGAGCTCAGTCCCGGGATGTCGGACGACAGCCGCTCCCAGTCACCGGGTCACTCCTCCGGTGCGGCTGGCGGGGGGGACTCACCTCTCCACGGGCAGCAGCAGCCGCGGCAGCTGGCGGGTCTGGACGACAGGACGGGGGGCTGCTCGTCCGTCAAATCCGACGACGAGGACGACCGCTTTCCCGCAGGGATCCGTGACGCGGTGAGCCAGGTCCTCAACTGCTACGACTGGACCCTCGTGCCCATGCCCGTGCGCGTGAACACCGGAAGCAAGAACAAGCCGCACGTGAAGAGACCCATGAACGCCTTCATGGTGTGGGCGCAGGCGGCGCGGAGGAAACTCGCCGACCAACATCCACACCTGCACAACGCCGAGCTCAGCAAGACCCTGGGGAAGCTCTGGAGGTGAGGAGGCCACTTCATGTGGATAGTTATGCGCTGATAGGCCGCCTATTGTCAAATCACTGTATGTTCTGATGATGCTCAGACTCTCAGTATACAGTAGCTGTACAATGTGTAGACAGCAGGGGTGATGGGGTATTGTAGTTGTGCAACACATTCTCCTCTCAATGCGTCATAACTGACGCTTTCAGACAGCGTGAATGTCCATGATATCATCATCAGCTTTCTGGAAACACATTTACTGAAACTACTGCTAGTGCTGCTTTTTTTTGCGGGGGGGGGGGGGGGGGGGGGGGGGTTATGGGCAGATTGGACAAAGGTCAGTGTCATGGCCTATCCTATCTTCTAAGGCCTGACTTGCAAAGAAGTCAAATCAGATCAAATTAAATCAGATTCCTCATAATTCTCTCTTAATTTTCTTGTTTTTTGATTCACCACTCTGATTTGGGTTTTTTCTTCCAGTCCACTAGAAGCTGACATTATGAAACAAGGGTGGGGTAGGTTGTTGACTTGTAGATGGATTTTACAGATAAAACTGTTCAAACACACTATATGTTATTGTGCGCACACTGACACCACTTTATTATGTTTTATAGGATCTCTTTACTATAATATTATGATAATTATGCACTACGCTTTCCCTCTAACAATTTGGTTTAAGTTATGGATTTTTTTTTCTTATGAACAAGGAAAAAACTGTGACCTTGTTCATGAGAAAGTGCCACTAGACAAAATTTCCTCATATGAGCTGATCTGTGGTATTATGTTTTCTGCAAAACGTGTTGGCTGTAAATGAGGTGTACTGTGTATGAACAAGAATTTTAGGAGACATGGGTACTCTGATACTCTTAGTGTCTCACTGCCCACTTTTGGACACAGCTTACCAATTGAGAAGCATGTGAATGTATTTACTGTGAATGGGCTATGGTCACATTTTCCTGAATCCAGGCTAACATTATACACTGTTTAATTACTGGCCATGTAGTTGGAGTAAATGCCTCCGGAGGGAATCAGAGGGAGTTTTCACCACCTTTAACTCATTATGTAAAGTACAGGTCTCCCCCCATCAAATTTACATGTTCACAATTGTCTTTGTTATTTAAATATGATTTTCATATTTTGAATTGTCCCTGCTCCTCTTACTTAATTAAATTGGTGATATTCTTGGGTCAGCCAGAGTAAAGTGAATATCAGCAAAAATCTTTTACTGTGTCTGGATGTTAACATCACTGCAGTGCTGGGAGACCATACATCCACTGTCCATTGCCTCACACAAAACACTCACTATTTGCTGACAAAAAGGGTCAGAAAAATTAAATTCATTAACCTTGTGAGGACTGAACATTAATTAGATGAAGACTTGACCTCGGACCCATGATTGGTTAATTGGGTAAGAAACACGATGAACAGGGAGGCTGAGAAAGGTCTGGGGGTTCCACTGACATCAGTAGTAATAAGGAGCTCCGTTTCATAGGAAAAGCTACTAAACTTTCTATACACTTTATGCATCATATATATACCTCATTTTAAAAAATGACGGTGTGGCCTAATTCTGAATCAGTGCTGAGACTTCTCTTCTTAATACCTTAAACAAACCTATCTACCACCATATTTTCTTTTAATCCAAGGCTTCTCAATGAGAGCGACAAGCGACCCTTCATTGAGGAGGCAGAGAGGCTGAGGAAGCAGCACAAAAAGGACTATCCAGACTATAAATATCAGCCACGACGCCGCAAGAATGGAAAGCCTGGTTCTGGGTCAGGAAGTGAGGCTGATGGCCACTCGGAGGGTGAGGTCAGCCACAGCCAATCCCACTACAAGGGGCTCCACCTGGAAGTGGTCCACAGTGGGGGAGCTCGGTCCCCTCTGGCAGATGGTCACCACCCTCACGCTGCAGGTGGGCTGTTGGCTCCTTCCCATTATCCTACTGATGCCGTCATTGTCACACTGTTAGATTACCCTGGATACAAATTGATGGATTGTTGATTATAGAGATTGTTTGAGTCTGTCACGAAATCTTCTGTAACTCCATGTTTTCTCGTGTCTTTACAGGTCAGAGTAACAGTCCTCCCACACCTCCCACCACTCCCAAGACCGAGCCTCAGTCTGGGAAGGCAGGGGACGGAAAACGGGAGGGTGCTGCAAATGGTGGCTCACGTAGCGCAATGGGAGCAGAGGGAAGCTTAGGTGCTCAGGGATCTGGGAAACCTCACATCGACTTTGGTAATGTGGACATTGGTGAGATTAGCCACGAGGTGATGGCCAACATGGAGCCTTTTGATGTTAATGAGTTTGACCAGTACCTTCCCCCCAATGGACACCCAGGGGTTGGGCAAATTGCTGGGGCAGGAGCAGCTGCAACAGCCTCTCCAGCCTCGCCGTACACCTACGGCATCTCCTCAGCTCTAGCAGCGGCCAGTGGACACTCAGCAGCCTGGCTCTCCAAGCAGCAGCAGCAGCAGCTGCAGCAGCATCACAGCTCCCCTCTGGGCTCAGATCCCTCCAAGGCCCAGATCAAGAGCGAGGCCGGAGGTGCTGGGGCTCACTTCGCAGAGGCAGCCTCAGGAGGTTCCCATGTCACCTACACCCTCCCTCAGCCTTCCTCACTACAGTTCTGCCTTTCCCCTCATTGGCCTCCAGGGCCCAGTTTGCTGAATATGCTGACCACCAGGCCTCAGGGTCATACTACGCCCACTCCAGCCAGGCCTCTGGGTTGTACTCTGCCTTCTCTTACATGGGGCCCTCCCAGAGGCCCCTGTACACTGCCATCACTGACCCAGCCAGCGTACCGCAGTCACACAGCCCCACGCATTGGGACCAGCCCGTCTACACAACACTGTCGCGGCCATGACAGACAACGAGACCAGAGGGCACTGGTGCAGGTTCAGCCCCCATGTCAGACCCAAGGAGCAGCAGCAACAACAACAGCAGTATTGGTGGTATCGGCAGGGAAAGTGGTCTGGGCTGGGGGGATTGGGCAGGCACTTGGGGAGTCGGCTGGGGAGGCAGCGGGGGAGAAACCCCATTCTGCTCTTGCCTAGAGGCAGAAATGCCACATAGCTCAAAGATGAGCTTGTAGCATGGTGCTTTTGAAGCATGGGTGATTATCTGGGGCACAGAGCATAGTAATCAGAGAATTACTTTGGTGGCGCAGAGGTAAAACACCCACCCACCACCACCACCGCAGAGTTCCAGGTTAGATGCCTCTGGAGCTCCACACCACACAATTGGCTGTGTTCATAAGTGAGAAAACACCAAGTCCCTGTCAGTTTGGTGACTCCATGTGTAACAGAAGACGCACGTTGAAGTCCACACCCCTCTCCCACTGGCCACAATGGGTCAGTAGCAACAGGGACCATTGTACACACTGAGAATTTGAAAGATCTGAAGGTTGTGACTGAGAGGGAGCCAAATCCATTCTATATGAAATGGAATGATTTTTTTTTTTGTACCTGAAGAATGGAGTGCTAAACTGTTTGGCTGTGGCCCATTCACTTCTCAGGCAAGACTTACCTTTTTTATCAAACAGATTTTGTTGGTTTTTTTTGCTTTTGGAAAACAATACAACAAATACTAATAATATTCTGATGGTTTCTGAGGCACATTTGTCCCTATTTAATTCAAATGATTATGTGTTCACTTAAAATGCCTTTTCTACACACAACAGATCTGCATGGAAGAAAAATGCCATACAACCATGTTGAGGTTTTGCTAAATGTGTATTTCGTTGATAAGCAATTTTCATGATGACTGACTATTATCTGGATAGTTTATACTATGTACTTGACAATGACAAATGTATGTATATTGATGCATTCAGATTTGAGATATTTGTTAGAACAACCAAAGTTTTGAGACCAAAACTTATAAAGAAGAAACTGATTTTACAGATGTTTCGCCCAACATGACACTCAAAACTACCTTATATTTTGTAGCTACTTAGTTTTCTCTTATAAATACAGACAATAGACAGATAAAGACAATTGTATTGATACATGGATAATACATTTTGTCATGGTATACATAATAGAAGCATTTTCATTGTTTTAACAAGTGACTTTATTAATGTTGTCAAATGCTTTTTGCCATTATTATCTCCACTGGAAGTCTGCACCACTGCCTTTTCTTTTCCTTTGTGTGTCATTCAAAATGTGTATATAGAACAATATTCAGTGTGAAATGTCAGATCTTTTGATTGTAGCTTTACAAAAAAGCATTTCTCAGACAGTCTCAAGGTGAGATATGCCAATGCTGAGAAACAATTGCCTGATATTGAGTAAGTAAATCTTCCAGAAGATAATATGTTCTAACACAGCCTAATATTACATATTTATGCCTTGTCCTTAATCATACCTTCATGCACGAGGAGCGTGCATGAAACAACTGGTATTTTATGTTGAATCTTCTTTAATTTGTTTGTGTCTTTCCCACTTTTTTGACTATTAGTTAATCTGTAATTAGTTTCAAGTCTCACTCTCATTTCTCATCTCTCTTTGGACTTTATGGTTCACGGTGTCACATGTATTTTCTGTTCCTCATCCCTTAACAGAATTTTGAGTATCTTATGCCTGTTCCTTATGGGTTACATGCAATATGTTTAGAATTCCCATTACAGTTGCCATCTGGAAAATTGACAAAAAAGTAAAAATAATTTAATTTGCTTTGTTTAAAAAAATAAATAAATACATTATTCAAATGTTTTTCATCACTACTGGACACAGATGCTCACCCTATGCATGCAGCACTGCTTTTGTTTTAATTCATTTGAAGCTTAAAGCCCATTTGTATTTAAACACTGACCTCCAGCACAAGATGCAGAGTTCATATTACATCCTTTTTGCTATATGTGAAATATCTGTAATATTGCTATGAATTTTACATTTCTTATTTAAATTTGTGTTATGTTTGTGTGTGCTGTTATTTGTTTCTCTCCTTTATGAAGAAAATGTTTGACTGTTACTGCCATTTTAGTATTTCACATTTCCCATTCTTGCATAACTGCTGCCAGCACAGCGACACAACTTCAAAATAACAGCAGGAGCAAAAACCTAAACATGCAATGATGACTAACTGTCTTTTACTCTCACTTGAAATAAAGCTCTATAATCTCTGCTTTAATAAAAGTCCGCCTCTTTAACCATTTTTTCAATGGAATAATGGAAATAATAAATAATCCATCTCAGACTGAACAATAAACACAGAATATTTAAAAAAACAAAAAACATCCTATTTTCAAGCACGTCTTGACGGCATCATGACTCAACCACTGCACACATTCTCGGCATAATCTGTTCAGCTAATGGATAATTCACTTTGCTAGCTGGGACTCACAGCCAAACCTATCTACAACCGACCATTGGTAGAGAGGTAAGCTGAATATTTGTGATGGTGCCTCGTATGTGCATGCAGTATATGAGACTGTGGGGATCATGTGTTACATTATGATAGTTGTAGACGTGCCATCAGATCCTCATTCGTGTGCTGTAGGTTGTAGCCGATTACTGCAACTGAACGTTTCCTTGAACTTGAACTAATCCAGTCCCAGATGGGGGTATGATTGGTTATGCATGCCTATATGCATATTTCAACTTTGTTATGGTGTACATGTATGTGTGTGTGTTTCTGTGTGTAGTGGGTTAAGCCTGACTCCTAATTCCCTCTCTTTAATCGGCTGTGTGATACTTAGGAAAGACAAAGAGGGCCATTGAAGGGGAGCTAGGGGAGGAGGGAAACAGGGCAATGAGGGAGCCTTACCCATAACTGCCTGGCCTGTAGCTTCACCGGGATACAAAGGGACTCTCATACTCTCTCAGCACATAGACCCTGCAACCTCCGCTACCCACCCTCCTCCTCTCATCCCTAACACTCAACCCATCCACTGAAAAAAACCCTCTCTTTTCAGGTTGACGGTGTAATGGGATTAAAACATTCCAAAGGTTAACCAGAAAGATGTAGGAAGAGTTATTCATCTGTTGATTTTTTTTAGCACCAAACTGTCAAAGCAGATGTCAGCAAAGAGCAGAAGGTCCAAGAACAGGTAGGAGTGACATGTGCTGCTGCTCTTTTGTGCAAGGAGGAATAGGAGGAGCACTGCCAGAGCGCTACAAAATGACCTCCAGTGGGCTACTGGTGTACATGTCTCTGACCAAACTGCCAGGCTCCATGAGGGTGGCATGAGGGCCTGACGTCCTCTAGTGGGAGTGGATCGCCAGGGAACACCAGAATTGGCAGGTCCACAATTGGTGCCCCTTTCTCTGAACAGATGAGAGCAGATTCACACTGAGCACAGGGTTAACGTTACGCTGCCTGCAACATCATCCAGCATGACCGGTTTGGAGGTGGGTCAGGGTAGGCATTTCTTTGGAGGGTGCAAGCCAACGATACCCTGACTGCTGTTAGGTATCCTCAGAACCATTGTCAGACCTTTCGCAGGTGGTGTGGGTCCTGGGTTCCTCCTGGTGCAGGACAATGCCCAGCCTCATGTGGCCAGAGTGTGTAGGCAGTTCCTGGATGATGAAGGCATTAATGCCATTGACTGGCCCTCATGTTCCCCAGACCTGAATCCAACTGAGAACCTCTGGGACGTTATGTATCATGCATTCAACGCTGCCAAGTAGCGCCATAGACTGTCCAGGAGCTCACTGATGTACTGACTCAGGTTTGGGATCCCAGGACACCATCCGCCATCTCATCAGAAGTATGCACAGACTTTGCCTGGAGTGCATATACACATTACTGAGTAACATTATGAGTTGCCGTGAAGAAAGTCACGCAAGTTGGATCAGCCAGTGATTTAATTTTTTTTTACTTTTTGCAGTGTAGGTTCCGATTGACCTCAATGATGAGAGACTGAGTAAACACAAGAAGTCCATGAAAGTGGCACAAAACTCTGAAACACTGAAAACATTAACATGGGGTATATATAACCCATAACAAAGGGTTTACAAAGGGTTTACATTGATTAGAATAAAAGCCCAACTTATGCATTAAAATGCAACCCAGTTGGTAAAACTTATCAGAGACACAATGAGATTGTTCTGGTTCTGTGACAGAAGATCTGAAGAATTCAAGTTACACACTGACTGAATTAACATCATTCGTCCATCCCTTATTTCCAATTATCTAAACCCAGTAAACAAATGCAAGGAATGACATACTATTTAGACCAGGTGCCGTGTAGTCACAGGGATATAATGAGTTGTCATCAGAGCACAACAGATGAAAGACAAACAGCGGGAGAAGGACAGATCACACTCTGTATGATCACTGTGTGAACAAGAGGAGGTCAGTAAATCTAAAAAGGAAAGAGATAAGAGAACCACAAAGGCAGACATGTGTGGGACAGATCGACAGAACAGAGAAATAAATAACAACAGATAAGAAAAGAAGACAAGCAAATGAAGTAGAAGAGTGTAATGAGCAAAAGAATAAGTCAGAAGATGTGAGTTCCACCCACGGCAGGATGACCTGATGTTGGCCTCACTGTGGCTTTGGCTGGTGAGTATCACATGGGCAGCCCACTCCGCCCCATGAAAGGACTGCAGCGTCACCCCGAGGCGGTGTCTCGTCTGATCAACAGACCCGCAGATGAAAGCAGTTTTTGAGAAATTAACAACATGACTGTGGCTACACACAATTATAGAGACCAGCAAAAACTGGCTTCTCCCTGATGACATTTAAATGTTTGAGAGATAAATGAAATTACAAAACACACGTACACACGCTTGGCTTTACTTTCACTACGAGAAAACGTATTTGTGTCTTGGCTGTTTTGTTCCTCAGTTGCATTTTTATCATCAGGTGGAATGTCTTTCCGTACATGTACACCCGTTGAACATATAAGCCACCTGTCTATCTACCAGAGGGTAGAGTATCATCACACATCTTCATCTACAGCAAAGCCATTTATCCTCTCATTCTCATTAACTTTCAGCCCCTTCCATCTTCCAGTATGCACTGGGCCTCTTTCTGCCCAGCCAACAACCCACTTTTGTTAACAATACAGTGACTGTTTGGCTGCTTTGTGCGTGTGCATATGTGTTTGTTTGTAGGGAAAAGGGGGAGATGCGGAGAGGATCATGACAGTTACAACACTTTTCCATCAATTGCAGGAGAAACCTGCATCATCTCTTTAAGCTCCTGAACATTAAGCCAGATGAGAATCTGTCAGGCTTCCACACTAGTTATCAACGACAGGGTGGAAATGACACAATTCTAAACACAGCTTATAAAGTTCAGCTTTTGTTCAAACTGTCAGAAATCAGTATTCACTGTTATTATAAGTGTTGTATGAATGAGACATGGTAATTTCTACAAAAGAGTTTATTCATAACAATAAAACAGTTCTTTTACACTAATCACCTCCCTCTTTCAAAACAACAAATAGAATAATTACAACACAGGATTGTTTTGTAAAAAGTGAATGTTTGACTGAAGTTATATTTCCCCCTTGTGGCTCCAAGTTATAATGCAGCTGTTAAAACAAAAAAAACATTCTAATTTTGAATTTAACTGCAGGGCACGCAACCACACAGCAAGACTGATCGCGTAACAAGTCAGATCACAAGATTTTAAACCTGCAAGCAACACACCGTCTTCATTTGAATGAGTCCTCTAGTGTCTGTTCAGTACATTTCATGTATCCATTTTTCATCTACTCACAAAGTCACCTGATGTGATGGATATATGTGGAACAAATTGTTGTATGAACAGGTGGGTGATAGTTGGATCCGTCTTAGGAATCTTCTGGGTTTATGTAGCTGAGTGACCTCATACGATGTGGGGGGGGGGGTGAAACAGTACATATTGTTTTGTCAGTGCGGACTGGATACACTGATTAATCAGTAATGATGAGCTCATCGCAGCCCCAGTCCTCATAACTCCCGTCAGGAAGGTATCTGCGGATGATGATGGGGATCTTTCTGCTCCTGTTGGTGGGCACAAACAAAATACACGGTAAGACACTGGGAAGTACGGACAAACTCTACATAACAGAATTTTGACCTACTCAGAAAACAAAGTAAAGACGCGGACATGATATAATTTTATAAAGCATTACTGATTATTCAGTCTATACACTTATTACTTACTTAAGCTCTTTCATAGCTATTTGCAAGGGGTCTGTTTCTCCCTCCAGCTCCACCATGACTGGAGCGCACATCCTGTTGGAAACAAGTCAGCAGACAGACAGGTACAGTGAATGCTGTATTACAGTAAATATGTAAGTGGCAGAGTCGAACTAATAATGCTGCCTTCAAACCATCCTACAATATATTTAGGGCTGGGTAAGGCCCCAATAAGACAGAATGCAGTTTTTGCAGTGAGAGGAGCCTTTTTTAAATTGTTTTCTATTGGCAACGAGCGTTCTGTGGGCTGTTTATGCACCCTGGGCACCTCAGGTTTTGGGCGCCTGCTGCGCATTGCGTTTTCAAAGGAGCGCTCTGAGTGCACAAATGAAGAAAAATTCAACTCTGAGGTGCCCGACATATTTCGCATTTTTTTCCATTGTCCAATCAAATGAATGGAGAGACGGGCCCTCAGTTGTGGTGACGGAAGTTTACAGCTGCTTGGATTGTCCAGAGACTGCAACAAACTGTCCCTGAGTCATCCTAAAATAAGCCTTGAACCAACCATCATTATGACGAAGCTCCTGGACCAGCTGGTAGTACTACCAGCAATGTCTCCTCTTTCTGAGGGTCTCATGTACCCACATGGATCTGTTTCCCTGTCTCCTGCGTGTGATCTGTGACCTGTGAGTTGTGATCAAGTTTCTGCTGTTATTACTTAGCAGCAAACCGAAGATTACAGTTAACTGGTGCTATAATCTTTGAATAGACTGACATGACAGCTGATTTGTTAGTTGCCTAGCAACATAAGAAAAACACAACAGACTGCTCTTTTCTAAATTCAACCCAAAAAAGGCAGCGCTCTGCGCCTCGCAGTTTCAGACCTGCAAAGCACTTTCTATTGACTAGTACTACTTAAGACAAATCATGTGCTCGATCCTGACATGCCCCTACAACAGACAAAAGTTGTTGTCAAGGTGCTGCTTTACAAACAAAGTCTGACTGATTCATGTTGTATTTGTGTGGTGCTTCTGCTCATACTAGTCATCTGACAGAGGGGAACCTCATTGCTCAGATTCTTTCCTTCCAATTTAATCTGGATTTAAATATCTCAATATTAATATTCATCTATATAACATGGCAACACTTTAGAGGTAATTATCAGTCTCTGTCCTTGCAAAGAAATTAACACAGAAGACATTTTTAAGAAGTAGTAATTGAATATGGTGAACAGGAGGGCGGGCGGTTCTCTCCGGGTGCTCCGGCTTCCTCCCACTGTCCAAAGACATGCGGACTAGGTAAATTGGTGACCCTAAATTGCCCTTAGGTGTGAGCGTGAGTGGCTGTTTGTCTATGTGTGGCCCTACGATGGACTGGCGACCTGTCCAGGGTGTACCCCGCCTTTCACCCGATGTCAGCTCCAGCCCCACGTGACCCTGTATCCAGGATAAGCGGTTGACGATGGATGAAAAGGAGGGCACATCAATAACTCACTTCACTCAGGTGTATTTAAACTGGTATTTACAATTTCCAAACATTAGTTGATTCAAAATAGAAGCAAATAAATTACAGACACATATACAGCCTTTTACAAAACACAAACACTTTTAAACACAAATTAACTTTTAAACTATCAGCGTTGTGGTTCCTAGGTTTCTGTCCTCACACAGCATTTCCACCTCCATGACACACTGAATACAGTGAAAGAGTGTGTTGTCAAAAGGTCAGAGGTCAGATCTGAAACCAGGACACTGTGGTCACACATATGACAACACTCACGCTATCTGGAGAGCTCGGGTCCCAAGCACTCTGGCTCTCTCGTATTTGGTCATATACGGTGTTGTGATCCTCTTCTGGTTGGCCTGCTGCCCCTCTCCTGCAGGCAGGATCTGCACGTTCTCCTGGTCCTCCTGCGCAAGAGAGCAACACCAACAGGTTTGGACTCATTGAGACAAACTTACATTAACACAGAGCAGCAGTGGAGCCGGCTAGTAAATGGTTTTAATAATTATACACAGTCTGAATGCCTGTTCTGTCCAGTTAGAAAAGCCAATTATATAACAATTAAACGGCGAACTTACATCTTCCGCGTTTTCCAGGTCATCTAATCCCTCATCCTCCTCGGCATCATCAAAGTCTCCGTCGTCGAAGCTACAAATTTTAAAAATATAGTTATGGTAAAGACTACAGACCCAGAATATTTGGATAATGGCCAGTCCTGATAGCTAACAAGCTAAACGTTAGTAGCTGTAAGGTTAACTGTAGCCCACGTTGTGTTGTTATAGTAACGTCAATACGCAGCTTAACGCAGCGTGTTAAAGCTGTGTGTCGTTACTTACTTGTCTTCGTTGTCGGACATGTTTTATTGCGAAGCGCGTCTATGTGAATAGTGGATATTAAAAATGCTCAGAGACTCTATTTGTTGTCAACATGAACATGTACCCACATGAATGTTCACAACGTTCAACTTCCGGTTACTTGGTGCGTTGGTAAATATTCCGGGTGCTCAAGAGGAACCTTTGTCGTTTGTTCCGGCTGTCTTACGTGTTTACAAAAGTTAAACCCAGTATGCTTTGATCTAATGTAATGAAATAAAGCCATTTTGGTACGGGTCAAATTGTGTGTATCTGTTTAATTTGGGGTAACGTTAGTTATTAGCTCTTGGCTCACCTTTACCTTCGTAGTGCCTCTATACAAATTTGTTAAAAATATTTAACACACTTCAGGCATTTGATTGGCAAAGGGCAAAAAAGCAGGAAACTATACTGAGACCAACCGACACCCCGATTAAACTGGCGGCGGCTCTAACATGGAAGGTAAAGCAGGACCCATGACAATAAGTTATTTAATGGATGTGTTGCAGTGGGAAAGACAAGGGTCTAATCCACTGCTCCATCGCAACCTCTCTATAATAATTATTATTTTGTATTAATTTTTTCCAAACTTCAACAGCTAAATGTGCAACATGAAACATGAAATAATTGAGTCTATAACTAAATAATGTAACTACTAACTTTCAAATTAGTTAATAGATGATTTTTAATGAACAAGAGACAGCAGCAAAGGTTGTTGCCTGTTTAAGACCTGGTGGCCTGACTGTTAAAGAAACACTCATATTCTTCAGGAAACTCAAACAGCTGATCAGTCTCTATCTGTTGATAAACTGTAGGAAAAAGTTTGACATGTCAGCTCTGGCAGCGGGCGGGCGTGTGCGTGAGACGAGAACGACCACAGAGCGCTTGTTTGCCTGTCTGTTGATGAGGAGCGCGGAGCGACCTGTGTGAAAAGGCCTTATATAGCCTAAACCTTGTCACAACCATTCACAAGAACTTAATAACGTACCAAAACCTTTAACATAAGGACGACTTAAAAAGCAACCATTCACACAGCAAAGTGTATATTTAGGCTACATGAGTGATCAATAGACAAGTCAAAGTAAAGATTAGACATAGCCTCTAACAAGCAATAATCAAACATTCCCAATTAATCTGATCCTTATTGTCAACTCAGTGTTGGGCAAGTTCCTCAGAAATAATATTACCTATTAGTTACTTAGCATAGGCTATAGACCTACTCCTTAAAAAAGTAATATTAGCTACTCCACTTAGGCCCACTGCTGGGTGATAGACTATTATAACGCCACTCTCTCCCGATGAGTCCAAGCATCACTGGCAGCAGCGGCAGGAGTTTCTCTCTGAGTTTCACGTTGCTGTGTTGCTTTAGCTGATGCTTCAATTAGCCTAAGTATAAATGTAAAACTGTTGGCGGTTGAAAACTTTTTGCTGGTCACACAAAGTTTACAACAGACGACAATGTTCTTTGCATCTTAGACTGTGACACAGTAATGGCAATAACTGCCAACAGCTATCGAAAATACCTCTCTCCCTGTTCTCCAGCTGTCCTTTAGCTTCTTGGCTGTTTAACAGCTGACTTCAACAACATAAAGTCCGGTGCCGCTGAGCTGCTGCGCGGTCACGCATTCACGTCAGGGATGGTGCGTTCAGTAGCGCACCGTTACTTGGATTAGTAACTGTAATAATACAACTATTTTCGAAATAGTAATCCGTTACATTACTCTTTACTGGGAAAAGTAATTTTGCAGTAGGCCTATTACTGCCCAACACGTTACGTACCACTGATGCGCGAGCACGCCTGTGGTATACACTGCACAGGTGTGGAATTGGCAGCTGAGCGTAAACGAACATCCTTGATCCTTTCCATTTCACTAGGCCAGGTCCTCTAGCCCCCCCCCCCTTCTTTTTTAATTTTTTATTTTTTTATTTCTTTATTACAGATCTGCATGATTCACCTGCATCACATTTTCAGGTCGGAAAATCCGAAAAATAATTCGGAAAAATCACATCCCTGACACTTGCACTGTTGTAAAATGTGCTGAGATTTAAACTATCAGGAATGTGTCATTTCTCCACAACTTGAAAATGTTCGTGTCTGGATCGATTCCACATAAAGAGAGATTATACAGCCAGGATAAAGTTATTGCATCACAAATCTGAATCACCTTTTCAGCTCATGGAGAATTTCAAAGCCCTACTCTCCAGGTTTTTTTAAAAACTAATAATTAGAGAACCAATAAAACAGATCATGTAAATAACATCTCCTCTGGTAAAGCTTGTTTTTCCACCATAGAAGATAACTTCTCAAGAAACTAAAATGTATTAATAACATTTCAATTCTTCCCATAGACAAGACATAAACATTTCCAAATAAATATTTATTGCATACTTCAATGAATACAAGTATGTAATAAAATAAAAAGAAACATAAATATAACAATAAAATGAACAAATTGTTTCATATTATGATCCTCTTCCACTTTTCCACAACGGTTTCATTATCTTTATCATGTCAAAGTATACATGAATTTGTTGTCAGAGTTTCTGCAGTTATGATACTTCAGCACTTTTTGTCCTTGGAGTCTTTGGTGCCCTCTGCTTTATGGTTCAGCATCTTAAATACCTTTGTGGGATTGAACTTTCCTTTTGACTTCTTTAGCTCTTTTAGTCCCTCTTTCTGGAACTCTGAGGAGATATATGTAGATATACACATTTTTGTAAGCAAGCATTAGTGTTTTTTAGAGCATTAATGTGTTTCAGAGAATCCAAGGCTAATATTGCTCTGCTTTCTTCATAACCACAGAAAAGAACAAGATGTGCACAGCAGATGGCACACAACAGTATGTAAAAGGTTATTTTAAGTGGGGCATTTTGAAATTTTCTCACCTTTGTTCTTCATCATGGATTCCAAAAGTATATCTTCTTCTCTTTCCCTAATCAGAGAAACACAGTTGCACTTGTAATTTTCAACATGAAATCTATGGATGTGAAAGCCACGTGTTTTTATTTTTTGTGCACCTCTGCCTGTCCTGGTCCAAGCTGCTGATGATCTGGTTCCTTTGTTCGATGATGGTGACCAGCTCTTTCATCAGCTGCTGCTCTCGACCTCGATCCTCTGAACTCCAGTCACTCTCTGAATGTGAAGACGACAGTGTGTGTAACGTTAAACAAAGCAGAGCACTGCAAATCACTCCTTTGTACTGCATCACCTTCACCACATTCAGGAAACTGTGTCTGTGAGGTTTCTGATTTATTTGTTGCTCCCTTTTATACACAAAGGCAGTTTCTGGTCAGAAGACAAAACTTCACAGAACAATTTAAAACCCAGGAACAATTTGCTTTTAGAAGAATCCTTATTCGTGTCTGTGTCTTATGTTAAGAACCAACTTGTATCTTTCCACAAGAATATCATATATAGTGTGTTTGTGATTTTAAACGATAAGCTCTTCATACCCAGATCAGAAAAGTGGTATGTTTAGGACTGATTGTAAAAATGTTGCGCATATTGATTATATAATTATATAGGCCTCTGGTTTAAGGATTGATTGCTGAATCATTCCAGAGTTTCCCCCCAGTGATGCCCCTGGTATTTGAGATAAATAATTGTTATTATTGTTACATATGCAAGCTACAAAAAGGGACAAAGTGATGCACACAGTACCACACTGACCGGGTTTAATAAGGAGACATCTGAGCTCGTACTCCACATCTGCCTGTCTTTCCTCTAATCTCTGCTGCTTTGTCCTGGGGCAAAGGCACAACACAAAATGCGTGTAAAATTCAAAAAACCACCCATCGCAACGCTCACATAACCTTTTTGCTGTAGCGTAAACTGCAATCTGAAATGAAAAATGAACGGCACATATAAGCAAACATCTTCTCACTTATCTACTTACAGATAAACCAGCTCTGTATCTCTGCACACCAGAACGTGTCTCTCATGGATAAGAGAGAACCACTCCATAAGCATTTTTTCCTCCTCTTTATCTGAAATAAAAAGGAGCGGCCAGAGATATAAACACTATTACCCGGTTAGTATTTACACACACTGAATTGTGCAACAGTGATTTGGTCTAGAACCAGTAGAAACTATTTGGGGAACCATTCTTGCAGTCTCTCAGATTCTTCTCCAACTCGACTCCTCTTTGTTCCAGTGCCTCCAAATGTCTATCCAGTTCTCCCATCTCCGCCTGCAGGTCTTCTGTAGAAACATTCTGGTCCGCCTGCACCTGTCAAGCAACATAGAAGTCATAAAACTCAGTAATATCTCACTCACAAAGATGCTATGCATGATTTCTGCAAAACTAAGGATGAATCTACACCTGAACAATTTACATGTACTCCCTGATGACTGAACCTTGTAATGAGGGCTAAAAGAATCACTGCATTTCAAACGTATCAAGTTAATAATGCATCAAATCCTTCTATTAAGGATAAAGATGATAACGGCAAATATAAAAGTCCAGTTTTTTTGGGCCAGCAATGTGTCAATATGCCATTAGTATAAACATTTATTGACTTATTTTATTGCTAGTTTCCTTTTGAGTCATTACCTTCCTCTTGATGAGTGGGAAGCCATGTCCAGGAGCAGGTGCCCGTCTAGATGGGAGGGACTGGAAAGTTTTTGATTTGGGCATTGCAGGGTTTCTATCAAAAGGATTTTCTTTGCAGGTTATCTAAAAAATAAAAAGAACATTTAAAATTGTAGGATAATTTACACACACACACACACACACACACACACACACATATAAATAAACTGTAATATAACTTCAGTTAACCTGATGCGATGTGTTCACATAGCATTAGCATTCCATAAAATAAAAATAAAAACACACTTTTTGGACAAGAACATATTGTGACTACGTTACGAGTCTGTGACTGCAGAAGAAAATATTCATATTAGATATAATCATTATTAGTTAGTCATTATCTTTATTCATACCTTACTTTGACATGGCGTGACCTGATCACATTTATTTGCCTCTGTCAAGTCACATTTGGCAAATGTGGCACAGAAAGCTGGCACAGAAAGACTCCTAGGTAAAGTGTGACTCTGTGCTTCATCTGAAGTGGCATGCGGCCCTGCTGCTGCTTTAGTCACATCCAGTACTGAATTTCCCGTTTCATCCACATCTGAGATACCAGTAGCTGCGTCCCTTGATTTATCTGTCAGACTGCCACCATTCCCTGAACGAACAGCTGCCACTGAGGCTTTGATTTGGTCTGCAGGCTCAGGTTTAGTGCTCTCTTCTTGAGTGTCCTCATCCACATCCTCTCCGAATGGATTGGGAGGAGGAACTCTGGGTGCGTTCCATGACATCCGCAGGTTAGAGACAGATTTGGATCGAGGAGTGGGTACTGGAGCTGGAGCTGGAGGCAGCTGTGTCCAGGGTCCGGGATGAATGATGGCCAGCCATGGATGGTTGGTTTTCACTTTAGGGCTACCACTGGTTGGGCTGGTGCTACAAGGGGGAAAATAAGAGATGACACCACAAGTGAAGAAGAACTTAAGAGGAAAATGGTCATTATTTCCTATTATTATCATTGTATTTTATAATGCTACTTTTATATGATGTTTAGGATTTAGCCAACATTTAGACTTGGTTTTGGTTGGAAAATATGAAAACGATGTATTCAAATGTTATATAATTGTTCTGATTATTCTCAATATTTAATAAAGTTGTAGTAAAAAGGTAAGAGCGGTAAAATGAGAAAAAAGAAAATTTTGAAAATATAACATATTTAAGAGAAATACAGGAGCGAGCTTGAGGTTTCTGGCTAAGGAAGCAGAGAACAGACTCTTTCTGTACACTTACATGTGAGAGGAATTGACTACACATTTATTTTGGTAGGATGAACTGTCTGCAGAGAGAAAAACAAAAATTAATTTGCTAACTTTTTTCACTCGGTCATAAACGAGAAGAGATGGCCACGGACTTAGCATCAACATACACTCACCTAAAGGATTATTAGGAACACCTGTTCAATTTCTCATTAATGCAATTATCTAATCAACCAATCACATGGCAGTTGCTTCAATGCATTTAGGGGTGTGGTCCTGGTCAAGACAATCTCCTGAACTCCAAACTGAAGGTCAGAATGGGAAAGAAAGGTGATTTAAGCAATTTTGAGCGTGGCATGGTTGTTGGTGCCAGACGGGCCGGTCTGAGTATTTCACAATCTGCTCAGTTACTGGGATTTTCACGCACAACCATTTCTAGGGTTTACAAAGAATGGTGTGAAAAGGGAAAAACATCCAGTATGCGGCAGTCCTGTGGGCGAAAATGCCTTGTTGATGCTAGAGGTCAGAGGAGAATGGGCCGACTGATTCAAGCTGATAGAAGAGCAACTTTGACTGAAATAACCACTCGTTACAACCGAGGTATGCAGCAAAGCATTTGTGAAGCCACAACATGCACAACCTTGAGGCGGGTGGGCTACAACAGCAGAAGACCCCACCGGGTACCACTCATCTCCACTACAAATAGGAAAAGGTTTTTGCAAGAGCTCACCAAAATTGGACAGTTGAAGACTGGAAAAATGTTGCCTGGTCTGATGAGTCTCGATTTCTGTTGAGACATTCAGATGGTAGAATCAGAATTTGGCGTAAACAGAATGAGAACATGGATCCATCATGCCTTGTTACCACTGTGCAGGCTGGTGGTGGTGGTGTAATGGTGTGGGGGATGTTTTCTTGGCACACTTCAGGCCCCTTAGTGCCAATTGGGCATGGTTTAAATGCCATGGCCTACCTGAGCATTGTTTCTGACCATGTCCATCCCTTTATGGCCACCATGTACCCATCCTCTGATGGCTACTTCCAGCAGGATAATGCACCATGTCACAAAGCTCCAATCATTTCAAATTGGTTTCACTGTAGTTCACTGTACTAAAATGGCCCCCACAGTGACCAGATCTCAACCCAATAGAGCATCTTTGGGATGTGGTGGAACGGGAGCTTCGTGCCCTGGATGTGCATCCCACAAATCTCCATCAACTGCAAGATGCTATCCTATCAATATGGGCTCTCAACATTTCTAAAGAATGCTTTCAGCACCTTGTTGAATCAATGCCACGTAGAATTAAGGCAGTTCTGAAGGCGAAAGGGGGTCAAACACAGTATTAGTATGGTGTTCCTAATAATCCTTTACGTGAGTGTACATACAGAGTAATTAAAACACAAACTGAGCTGCTCCAGTAAAATAATACAGTGCCTATTTACCTGCAGTCTGGGAGGTTCTGGTCCTGGGTGCAGGAACAGGGACTATAGAAGAGTCCAACTTTCGCCTGGGTGCTGGAACTGGCCGACTACCTCCTTCTGTCATTTGCGCACACGGTGAGTGCTCAGACTGCTCTTGGGTCTTTGTCGCTTCCTGTTGTATCTTGCCGTCCGCCAGAATGGGTGCAGGTCCAGTTTTTCCGGCTCCTTTAACGGTCCTGTCTTTAACACTTGTGGGTGTGGGAAGATGAGGAGGTGCTGGCTTCTTTACCTCTCTGCTCCTCTCCTGCCTTTCTTTTCCCTCCGTCTCTGTTGTTTTACAAACCATTCTGTCCTGTGACTCTGTGTTCGTAGTGTAATGAGGGACACTGGAGACAGCCAATCCACCAAGAGAAAAATAACCTGCCTGAAACTTACATCTGGGCTGATTCTGAGTCGATCCAATTTGCTGACTGAGGTCAACATGAGAACTTTTACTGTTTGTTATGTGGTGAGTGCAGATCAAGGAGCATGCATCACCTCCTTGTGTGTAAGACCCAGGTAAAAGAGTATTGCGGCACACATTGCACCTGAAAGACAAACACATCTGCTGCAAAAGTGTCCTTAACCCATATTAACAGGAAAAAAAAAAAAGAGAATCCCAAAACTGACCAGCACTGATAAATAACAGAAAAACAGTTATTTTTCCTTTCAAGCTGACCTCAGATATAGATTATTTTACTTATAATCATAAGTGATATCAGATAGGACCACAGTGGTCACTTGAAACACATTTGAAACGCATTCTTATTTGTGAACTGCAGTGTGTCTCAACCATATCTACACACAGTCTGGATAAATCTGGATCCTAACAGAAGCAGAAACAAACTGAGCTGCTGTTACCTTGTGAACTGTGCTGTTACCTGAAACAGCTGCGATGGTAGAGCTTTCCGTCAATCAAATGTCTCTGTATGAGGTGGACAGGCTTAAAACACAGATTACACACCGTTTGTGGCTTTGCGTTGGACAAACGATGTTCTCTGCTGGTTTCCAGATCAGTCGATCTCTGAGCAGAGGAGAGAAACGAGCAACCAGGACTGTTAACCCAGCAGCTGAGGTGATAAAGAGCACGAGACGACAGATGTGTTCACACTGGGAGTATATGTGCGTTAAAATGATTGTGAGCAATTACCTTCTGGGGTTTCAGACCATCAGGAGTTTTACTCTTTGTGCGATTGTTTAAGACAGTGACATGTGATGACCTCAAGCTGGCAAGGCCTGCTGCAAAGTCAAGAGAAGACATGCAAATGGAGCACAGTTTGGCAAACGAGAACTTTAAGATGAAAAAGTGTGTGTCTTGCTTTGAGTAGAGGAAAGGTGGAGGCTGTCTGAAGATTTCTTTCACATGATGTGAAGAGTAAAATATAGCAGTCCACCGCAACTTACAGCTGATTGCTTGAGGGGTATGAACTTGTATATCTTCTTAAGAACCCAAAACATCACAGATATAATCCTAGAAACCTTTGTGTTCTTCAGTAATCATTTACATTGATGAAGTGCCTTTAAACAAGCAATAAACCTCTGCTTGCTGATTTTCTGCCAATAACTATGAATAAAAGCATCAATATAGATGTCTAAAACAGAAAAGAGAGATTATACACAACACACCGTAAGTCTTCCTGTTGAAGAAGTAGTAGTACCGGGAAAGGTAGGTGATGACGCTCAAACAATCAGGCACCATGGTGGAAACCATGTCGTTTGCATCCAGCAAAGCAGGGATACCCAACTTCGTTTCTGCAATCTCAAATGCCTACAGAGCAGAAAAGATTAACAGAGAATGAAGGTAGACCAGTGTTAAAAAAGGAGTTACATAAATGCAAATTACCCAGAGGTTTTTTTCTTTTACAACATTTCTGTTGGCCATGGTAAATAAACCCCAAACACTGAGGTGGGAGGGACATGCTTGCAATGTGGCTTGTGTGTAAAGGTAGATGAAAATGACTCACCAGTTTGTTATTTTGATAAACATTATCTTTGGAGAGGGAGCTGAAATCTCTGGAGGAATGTAAGGAAAATGGAGCGACTGATTAAATGATGATGAAAAGACAAAATCACAAACAAAGCAATTGCCTGTTAGTGAATAGCAGTTAAACACACACATAAAACACTGTGCCAGCAAGATGCAGTCACTGTATGTAGTAAAAAAGGTATTTAAAAACTAATCCCATTAAACTGGACAAGAAAAGGTTAAGAAGAGAGACAGAGAGAGATTAAGCAAAGGAGAGCAGATTAGCCACAGACATCGTGTGCAAATCTTGCTCTGCTCCAGATAAGACAGCACGTTAGTCACTCTGGAGCAGCCCCAGTCAAGAAAACAATGAAATCTCAAGACAAGACCCCCAAAACAGATGAGGATATGTTTACAATGTTAGAAATATCCTCGTCATGCACCAATAGATTTAGCCAAGGCCACTACAGGAATAATGCACCTCACTGTTCTTGTCCATCAGGCTCAGCATGAGTTTGCACAGCTCTCTGAAGCTACTGGTCTACTTACATCAAGTCAGGCCGGTGTTTGTGGATGATGGCACAAAACGCGAGCCCGTCTCTGAATGAGGTTGACATGTTCTTTATTTCCACATCGGGGTAACAGGCGCATGTGAGGCGGCACCACTGTTGTAGAGCCTTCGCTGTTGCCATCTCTTGTGCGAGGTCTGACATGTGGGCTGGGTATACATGGCCCTTTCAAAGTTAGAGGAAACCAAATAACGCTGGGCAGGTATGGCTTGTGGAGGAAAACAGGAAACGATATCTATCTAACCCTTGCAGCAACTTTTTTTGTTGTTGCAGAAAACCTGCGACCAAACGTGTGTATCGAGTTGGTGAAGCGACAGGAAGGAAGGAAGTCATATATTTCCCCCACTGTTATGTTGCATTGTCAAATAAAAACGAAGGTGTCTGCGCATGTAAAGAGAGCAGGCTACATTATTTCGGTGCATCTAGCCACAACTAAAGTCTCAAACGGTTTCCCTCACGCAACACAATGTCACTTTTCACTACAAACCACCAACGAGATTCTGAATGTAGGGAACAGTCGTCCAAACATCTGCAGTGCTCTGATGACTCGTGGCCGATTTGATAGAAGGCATGTAAAACAAATCAAATCAATTCCCGTTACTTGCTGTCGTCCTCCTTGTTGTCCTCCACCTTCAGTGAAATGCACAATAGTTGCCGCTGGAGGGAGACACAGAGCTGCTGCCTCCCTATAATTAGGAAGGCGAGGTTTCTAATTACAAGCTTATTTCTCGGATGCAGACTTGACATGCTTTTTTCCAGCAAAATATAAACTATTATTGTAGGGGGTTTTTTAATCAAAACTTTGAGGTATTATAGCTTCATTACAACAGGCCATTTGCTAATTTTAATCCATCCCCCAGTTCTTGCTATTTTTGATCAAGAAACAGATCACAAGTGTGTTAAAAGATTTCAGAATATTCAGTTTTAGCCTTCAATGTTATTTTATAACATTTGGACACATGCACTTGTCATTTCAGGAAGGTTAAGTCAGCTATTGTTCTAAAAAGTACTTCCGGTCAAACAAGTTAAATAAAATTATAACGGCATTAACCTTTCGAGTCTTGCAAAAAAAATAAGGGACTAAACGACATGTTATGAAGTGATAAAACCAAGGTGAATGTCCTTTGTCTCTGGTTTAAATGTCTTCATATATATACTGTATATATGTTTGTGCGTCTGCTTTAATTTGAAAGAAATTCTACTTCCGGTATGGTTCTGTTTTCTCCGATTTTCTTCCTTTACGCAGCTCATCATAGAAATCGATTGTTAGAAGGGTTATTCCCATTCAAATGTACACTTCTAAATCTCATGTGTGACTATAAATGCGATACTTGGTGATGTTTTCATAGATATTGGCGTTAACTTGGCATATTAAACTCATACTCAACTAATTAGGATGAACTTTATGGCAACTGTAGTGAAGACTTTAGTTGAAAAGATAACAATATTTTATTATTAGCATTTATTGTACACCTTGAAGTAATTTCTAGATTTTAGTTTATATGTGCATATAAAAACATTTTAGGCACACAATAAGGCAGAACGGTAATTATCATACAAATATCATACAAATGTATTGTGTTTTTAATTTTTAAATGTCCTTTCTATGCACTCCAGTTCTGCGTCTCTCCTGCTTCTACGTGCCCGTCTGCATCCCTCGCGAGAACGACACACGAGATAAATCTAGCAGTGATGGCTACGCCGCCCGATGCGGAGAGTTTGGAGTCTCGAATCAGTTGAGTATTTTAAACTTGTTCTACCGAGCCAGTGTCATCTGGAGAGCCGGACACTCGCACATTATTATCCGCGAGTTGTTGTGGATGAGCTGACAGCAGCGCGTGTCCCGGCAGAGGGGACCCTGCCGTCACATCCAGGATGCTAACCGAGTTCCGGAGCTGCTGTGCCAGCCAGCTGTCAACACACAACACAGCCAGGCGGAGCTTTAGCTTTACGGCACGGTAGCTCAACTAGGTAGCAGGCGATCAAGATCAAAGGAGCCTTATTTTTAGCCACAGGTTAAAAATAGGTTAGGTTATGGTTTGGGCAAATCTACGGCCTCGTGAGAAAGTTGTAGACGACACAGTGACACACTGCGACCGCCGACAGCAAGCTAGCTTAGGTTCCACTGTGCTAGCACCTGCACGGTGGCATGCTGGGGTTATGTGGCAGGGACTTCATCATGGAGTCACTCGGGATGCCTCTTGGCCTTCTTACGTGCTTATTTAAAGTTTTGTATGTGATTAACTTTTTTTCCCACTCAGCATCTCTGCCTATAATGTGAAGATATTCAGACTATGAATAATGATGCTTACTCAATTTTTTGTATCTAATAGGGTAAATTAATAACATGCACACATGTCAATTTATTAGCTAACGTTACTACTAGCTAAAATAAATACAAACGGAAACAAAAAAAGGCAGACAGAACAAACGTTGCAATAAATACTACCCTCAGGAAAAGATTAAAAAAGGGAAATATATATATATATGCGCTACACCTTTTACATACAGATGCGATTGATATGGAACATTGCACAGGTCGCAGCAAGACGTAGTTTAGAGGAAAAATGTATAATTGCACAGTACAGGTTAACGATTTTTATAATGTTGGTGTTGCATACAAAGTGTGGGACCAATCTATCTTATCTGTTGAAAATGCTGAAGAGAGAGGTTTAATTAAATTTGAAGGTGATTTTGGAGGCTGTTGTATTGTAATATGCTATAATGCAGAAGAGTTGAAGTAACATCTGTCACCTCTGTTGTCTGACTTTGCTGACGTTTCAGACAGAGCCACAAACCCACTCAACAGAGACACAGACTGGAACAGTATCCATGCCTTCTGTGACCAGCTCAACAATGATTTGGAGGGGTAGGAGGACATCGTAACAACCCTTTTTTAATTATGGTGTGGTTGGTGCTGGTTCAAGTTTATTATCCTGGAGACCCCAGCTGTGGGAGTGAATGTCAATTAACATACGTATTCATAACCATCATTTTGCAACTTCTCTCTGTGAACAATAGGCCTGTAAAGATAATTAAAAAAATGTCTGTTGGGCTGCACAAAAATAGGAAATTAAACAGACTTGTCTTTTTTCATCAGTCATTCTCAAATTATTTTAGAAATCATTATGGGGTTAATATCAGTGTTATATGATACAGTAAAAAGAAGGAAACAAGAAACCCCGCTTGCATTCGCTCACTTGCCCTCAACGGCTGCGTGCAGTGCTCTGGACATTCAGTATTGTTTGTGACCTGTGTTACAGACCTCAGCTGGCCACCAGGCTCCTGGCCCACAAGATCCAGTCTCCACAGGAGTGGGAGGCCATGCAGGCCCTGTTGGTGAGTTCAGATCTGAACCAGGATCTGTTAGTCTGAAGTAGCTGTCTCTGTACTCGGTGCACATTTTTTTGAGTCTCTACTCTATTAAGACTCTGCTACAGAATATTTACTTTTGTTCCCTTTTTGGCTTGTACATTTTCTAAATGAAAGCTCTTTTACTGCTATAAGATTACAACTTTTGGCAGGTTTCATCCAGAATTTTCCGTGGGCTCCCCAAAACCCGTATGCACCAAACTCTAAATCCGATTTAGTAGATGATGACAGGTTTTCAAATGAGCCTGTTCCTGAGGAATATAATGTAATGTAATGAGTCCTCAAAGCCTTAATTCACCATAACTCTTTCTCTAAATATGTATTATCATTTGAAGAGGCATATGTTTTGGAGCATGGTGTTGCTGTTTTCAGATTTCGTTTTATTTGTATTTCTTTTCCAGGTTCTGGAGACATGTATGAAAAACTGCGGGAAAAGGTTTCACAGTGAAGTGGGCAAGTTCCGTTTTCTCAATGAACTCATCAAAGTAGTTTCTCCAAAGGTAAGGCTTTCTGAGTGTCTCTCTGAGTGTGTCTGTGTTTTTCAGACAGGTTATTATTTATTTTTACACGTCATGTTGTGTGTAAATCACTTTGTTGTTGTCCTTAATCCCCCACTCAGTACCTGGGCTCGCGGTCACCAGAGCCAGTCAAAAAGAAGGTTTTGGAGTTGATCTATAGCTGGACTTTGGGGTTACCTGATGAGGCCAAGATCTCAGATGCCTATCAGATGCTGAAGAAACAAGGTAAGAGGCTATCTGCCATCAGGTGAAAGAAAGTTCGAACTCCTGAAGTTGTTAGAAGGCACTGAGGTTGTAGCCAAAGTCCATTTTAAGATAACAATTAATAAGGACTGAGGAAACTAATAACTACAGTGATAAATAATCATTTGCTTGGCTTGTTCATATTTTGTGTTTGTAAATCAGGTATTATCAAACAAGACCCAGAGCTTCCACCTGACAAATTACTGAACCTCCCTCCACCCAGACCCAAGAACACCATTTTTGAGGATGAGGAAAAGTCAAAAGTGAGATTCTTTCCAAAACAAATGTGATCTGAGCAAGTTTCTCACCCACTGTGCACGCTTTTGGGATTTATGAAGCCAGTTTGCTCATTTTCCACCATATGAACTCTGGCTGTGTGCTTGTCAGATGCTGTCTCGCCTGTTGAATAGCTCACACCCTGAGGACCTCAAAGCCGCCAACAAGCTCATCAAAGAAATGGTCCAAGAGGTAAGCCTCTTTCCTTCTCTTTTTCAAAATCACACTTCTCTGTTAAACGTGCACCACCACTGTCTAGTGCTGCATATATAGTTGTGTGTGTGACTTAAAGAAAATGAGTAAAATACCAGAGTGCCGCACTCATGGCAGGAACATAAACTGAATGAGGAAATTGGTTGGTTGACTGGGGGGTTGTGTGTCACTGGCAGTGATTCAGCAGGAATGATGAGGTGTCCTGCTTTCAGGGGTAATGGGAGCTGCTCTTTGCTCTTTTCTAATAGCCTCTCTCTGTCCTTTAGCTATGTTTTGTTTTTCTACTGTTGCGTTATTGTATTTGTCTCGTCTGTTTTTAGGATCAGAAGCGAGCAGAGAAGGTGTCGAAGCGGGTGAACGCCATTCAGGAGGTGAAGGAGAGCGTCACTCTGCTGAGCCAGCTTCTGCAGGACTACGACAGCACCGCTAGCAATCAGAGCAACGCTGAACTCCTGCAGGTGAACTGAAAGACAGATGCTTTTAATCAGATAAGAAATGTTCAGTGCATACACAACTATAATGTAGCGTTAAATAAGAAAATTGATTTCAGGTATTTAACATGTTTTGTGTGGCTTAGGACCTGTACCAGCGCTGTGAGAAAATGAGACCTACACTGTTCAGACTGGCAAGTGATACAGAGGACAACGATGAGGCTCTCGGTGAGCGTTTTTGTTTTATTCCGCTGCCATTAAATATCATGTAAAAGGGAAAAAAATGGCAAAAAAAATTTGTAGCTCAGGCAGAGCAAAAGACAAGCCCACAATGTTAATTTGCCACATCATTCAACTGTTGTCTGTTTCTGTAGTCGAGTCCTCCAACATGATACTGAACTCAGGCTTCCTTCTTTATTTCTGATGAGAGCACCAGAGACACGCCCAAAATATAAATGTAGGAAACATAACCCAGTGTTTCATTGTTACCACACAGCATGCTGCTCTTCACAAACAAATTGGGTGTCTTTACTGCCTTTGTCCTGCAGAGATATTTGATATCCAGTACTGCCTACTTTCCTACTTTATAACATCTAGTCCACCCTGCTGCCCAGCAGGAGAAAGTTCCACACCAACACCAGTTCTGACGGATATCAACACTGTGAAAACAATAAGGAGCATTTTCTAATGTTTTTCCACAGCGGAGATCCTGCAGGCCAACGACAGCCTGACTCACGTCATCAACCTGTACAAACAGCAGGTGAAGGGGGAGATAGTGAACGGCAACAACACATTAAACACACACAAACAAACAGGTGGGTGAAGCACTGAGCGCAGAAACGCATGAAGAGTGCTTAATAGTTTTAGAGTTGGCGTCTGCAAAAATGTGTAATGCAGAAACATTTGTAGATTCAGAAGTTCCTAGTTTTTGTTTATGGTCGGTTTGAAATGAACTGGCTTGAATCCATTTCTAACAGGAGGGACGGCACTGCTTGATCTGTCAGGACTGGACACATCCCCACAGTCGCCTCCGTCCTTCCCAGAGTTTCCCACACCGACAGACAGCCTCAACGCCCCCTCGCAAGAGATGGGAATTAGTCTCCTCGACGATGAGCTCATGTCACTTGGTAACAGCACGGCAGACACCAAAAAGTTGGAACTGGTTGTGTGCAAGATATTCATTGTGTGGAGTTATCTAGGAATTTTAAAATGAAGGGAAAGAAAACACTGATGCTGTGTCAGTCAGTTTCTAAGTAGTACTGCCACTCTTTGTGCATCTCACAGGTTTAAGTGAAGGAACACACACCTCCAACCCTCCGTCACAGCCTGAGGACTCCACAGCCTGGGACTCCTTCCAGGTGAGCAGAGGGAGGATTCATTTTTTATTATGACTACAATGATCCAGTGGCGGTTTGTATGATTTACACTGATGTCATTCGTCAAACGCACACAACAGCTCCTCCTTAATCGAGACATCTGTACCGCTATTTTCCTTACACGCTCTCACTTTCTACTTCCAGTCCTCTGACAGTATAGATGCAGACATCCCAGCAGCACCCAGTCTCCTCCTGAGTCCAGACACCCTCTCCCATTCTCAGCCCCTTTCGTCTGGTTCCACCCCTGGGAACTCGGCCCTGGACGAGCTGGACTTCCTGGGAAAGACACTGATGCAGCAGTCCCTGCCTCCAGAGGGCCTGCAGGTCAAATGGTATTAAACTAACACTATTCTAACACAGTCAAATTCCTGCTAAAACTGTGAGAAACAGCCTCAAGATAGCCCTAATATTTACTTTCTTTTTGTTGAGTTTTTAGTTTGATATGCTTGTCTGCTTGGTGTACCATGTGTAATTAAATTAGATAAGTGTAGTAGCAGGCAGCCACTGTCGGGAAAGGATTTCTGTCTAGTTTTGAAACATTAGACGCTCCTACAACACAGCCACTGCACTCGGCACTGATCAGCTTTCTGCCTCTAGGCTTCTCGTCATGTTTAACTTCTGGCTCTTGTTTATGTTAACTCTTGGCTGCCTGCATGCCTCAAAATGCTTCTCAGAAGTTTTGTCTCCCTTTGCTACTTCAACCTGACCAAAAACAAAAAAAACAATTCCTGCAGAAACCTTTTTAAAGTTTGAATACAGCAAAACTATGGCAAGCAGGTCTGTGTACTTGGCGGCAAACAGATTTTCGTTTTGAAATGGAAAAAAACTAAAACTGGCTCTTTCCCAATTACCATGAGTAAATAGGGAAACGAAAAACCCAAAACAAACCGTTTTTTCATTTTGATATTAACAAATGGAAAACGAAGAAAAATCTCGTTATCCGATTTTCTTTGTGTTCATAGATGTAAATTCAAATACGAGTGCATAAATCTTATTCCTCAATTTTTGCATTGGTTTTCCTTGCAGATACGGAAGCTATGGTAAGCAGCCAGGTAAGCGGTTGTGGGCCTATGCCCCCCCCTTCCCCCAAAGTCAGGAATTTGGAGTTGCAAATCTAATGTTACGAAGATGGACTACAAAAAGCACATCTTTGACTTGTGCATTCTTACCGTGTTGTTTTAATTCAGGCCATCGCAAGGTGGAAACATAGCCTATTACTCAATTACAAGCGTAAAGGGGGGTGCGGAGGGTGCTGCAGCACCCCTTATTGACAGGTAGGAACACTGTGCAAATGACATGTAGGCTACAGACTGCATAATGTGCACTATTGTTACTAAAGGGCAACATAAAATACAGCAGGTTAGTGCTGAATGCTCTGGTTGATATTGCAGCCTACTAATTTGATGTCAGCAGCTGTTTGCACTGTTTTGTCACGATTATAGGAGCTACATTGGTGTGATGCGCGGATCAGCTTTGATAGCCTATCTGAATAATCATGTAGGCATAAATCATCCACCCGCACTCGACCCAACTAATGATTTTTCTCAGATTTATCCCACCTCTACCGGCCCTTATAACTTTACAGGTGATTTCATTATTGTGTTGATGTATTAATGTTTTGTCTAACGTTTACTTATACTATGATTAGAGGCTGCTGTCAGCAGTGTTTCCCATACATTCATTTATTTGTGGCGGCCCTCCACAATATCAATGCTGACTGCCACACATTGATTTGCGATTTTTTTTAATTTATTTTTTTTACTAGGCCTAGGCTATTTAAAATCGTATTTGATTGCAGAGCTCTGTAGCGTGTTCGCTCAGCACATCCCCTCACCTGTCCCTCTCTCTTTCTCCCTCACAGCTGCACAGATCTGCCCAACACAAAGCTGTCAATGTCGGAGACCCAGCTTAAAGACGTTATTAGCAAGCATGTAGGGAGCCTAGCTAATAAGGAGAGCTAAGTTAAGGACAGACAGAGGAAACAGAATTCTACATCCAAAACAATGGCTTAATAATCAGCTGCACCCTCATGCCATTAATTTAAGTGGACCATGTATCAATGTTTTTAATTTGAATAATTTTATTTAACCAGAAATTGTTTCTCCCAATATAATCTTTCTATTATTCCTTTTATTGTTGAAAATACATACATAGCCTACATAATTACTGAGGTCCGGACCTCGGTGACCTCATACGGCCACTCTGTGTTGAAGGAAAGTGAATGGCCACAAACAAACAGTCTGTCAAACACGCATATAGGCTATAGCACCCCAAGCCACTTACTGCTTACCATAGCTTCTGGGTCACCAAAAAAACCCAATTCAAAATTGAGGAATAAGATGTATACACTCGTATTTGAATTTCCAATTTCTATCTATAAACACATCAAAGAAAATCGGATAACGAGATTTTTTTTTTCGTTTTCCATTTGTTAATATCAAAACAAAAAAACGGTTTGTTTTGGGTTTTTCGTTTCCCTATTTACTAATGCTAATTGGGAACGTTTCAAAACGAAAATCTGTTGTACACGGACCCAAGCAGTGTTTGACTCTCCGGAATTAACATTACAGATATCTTTAAAGTAATTTTTGACCAGTCTTAATTGCATTGGGACTCTCCAGGATTGTTCTTCAAGATATCTTTTAACATCGTTCTGACTAGTCAGTACTGAATTACAGATATCCGCAGTGATGTCAATGAAAACAGACACTTGACGAAGTTGTAGATATCAACTGAACTGTAGATATCTGTAATGAGAAACACCATACATATGAATGGCAAAAGTACTTTAATACTTACTGTGAGGTGTGTAATTATAGATATCTAGAAATAAAGTTGCAGATATCGGTAATGAATATCTAGTCTAGCTAACAGATGTTAAAACTGCACTAAAATTTCTCTTAAGCTTTTTTAATTTGTACAGTAAAGATAGAATTGTTGGTTTTTCTGCTTCAAGGGACAAGCAGCAGTCCAAACCAACTCTTAGAGATCTCCAGAGCAAGTCTGGGTCCAGCGTTACCCCAGTCCCCATACCAACCTTCGCCACTGAACACCCTGCACCTCTCCTCAACTCTCAGCCCAGCCTCGGCGCGACGTTGCTGGATATGTCCCCAACTCGCATTGAGACTCCTTCTGCAGAAGTCACCCTGACTGATGTTTTTGTACCGCTAGAATCCATTAAGCCCAGTAAGTGAACTTGATGTCTTCATGCTTTCGCCTGCCTGAAAGGACAAATTTATGATATGCTCTCCTCCTTTGTGCTTTCCCTCTCCAGGTAGTCTGTTACCTGTGACTGTGTTTGACGGACACAGTCTGCGGGTTCTCTTTCACTTTGCTCGCGACTCGCCTCCATCTCGTCCCGATGTGCTGGTGGTCATCATCTCGATGCTGTCATCCGCTCCTGTCCCCGTCACCAACATAAACTTCCAGACTACGGCTCCAAAGGTCAGCAGTAAAAAAAATAAATAAATAAATAAATAAAGCTCTCTATAAGAGCTGTACATACACGTAAGGTTCATCTTGTAAAGACAGTGTTACTGAACAACTGCAGGCGATGTATTGTCTTAGTAAAGAAAGGATGTTTGTTTTCTTTTATCATTTGTAGTCTATGGCAGTGAAGCTGCAGCCTCCATCAGGAACAGAGCTCCCAGCTTTCAACCCCATCCTTCCTCCTGCTGCTGTCACACAGATCCTGCTGCTGGCAAACCCAAACAAGGTAAGCCAAGATTTAACTAGCTACACTTTGGGGGTCCATTTTTAAAATAAACTATTAAGAAATCATTCTTCACTTAACTTGAATTGCTCAAGCAGGGCAGTCTATTAAGAGCAGCATAATCAGCTGACATTCACAGCAAGAAATGTGACAGTATCTCAAGCTACAGCTAGATTTGACACTAAGGTGCATTCTATAAAAGTAAAACTATTTCACAGTGATTTCACTGCCGCTGGTCAAGTGAAATGTGGAAGTCACGTGGACTGTAATGGCTTTAGTTAGCCTCTCTACTACTAATCTCACTATCATGAGTCGGAAGACCTACTGAGTGAGATACATCGGGGAAGTCTGTCCAGCCAAGGCTCTCTGGATGTTCAACTATATATCTACATCTCTCATTGTGTGTGTTGCAGGAGAAAGTACAGCTGCAGTACAGTTTAACCTTCACCATGGGCGAGCAGGAGCACAGTGAGAGCGGCAGTCTAGAACAGTTTCCTCCTCCAGACACGTGGGGGAAACTATAGCATTTAAACAAAACCCCAAACTGACAGACTCTGCTTTCAGACTGCGCTCCCTTCCTAAACCAACTCGACACTCTCTCTGCATAAACCTGTTTTCCTTTTTGTAATCACATTTTACTTTCTTTGATTGGTATTGATTGTTTTACTTGGATTATGCTCATGCTCAGTCAGTGTAATGCTTTGCTTTAACTGAGTCATGTGTTTAGGTCTAGTCTGCTGTATGTGGCTGCTTTAAAACAAACCCGCAACTGTTTCTCACAAAGTTTTTAACCAACACTGCTATGAAGGAAGAAAACTACATCAAATATGTGCATATTTGCTCATTTGGGGTGCTTGATTTTGGTTTTCCCCTAGGACACAAAGACAGTTTAAATCCATTATCTGTTGCGTTTACCTTCACCTCTGCATGCTCTGACAACATTTGACACAATGCTTGCAAAATCCAGCCAATCAATAGAGAAAGGCCATAAGCATTAAGTAGACTCATCTTAGTTTGCAAAGCAAAGCTATACTTAATCAACTTTTGTGGTGTCTATTTTGTGATGAGCAAATAACACTTATTATTTCTTTTCCACTTTTTGATTTGCACAGAGAATTCTTTTTTTGATAGTACTGTTTTCCTGTCTTTGGCCCATCTTGTGGAAAGAACATTTACTGTAACATCAGAGTTGTGTATTATCTGCCATATGTGCCTATTTTGCAGTTCTAACGTTTAAATTTTAGTGAGTTTGGATGAATTTGTTTTTCACATCTGTTACACATCAGTCATTGTCTGCAGTTGTCTGAGATCCAGATCAGCTACATTATAACCTTAAATTCTTAATATATTCATAGCATTTTCAATAGGGTTTAAGTTAAGTTTTTACAAATATTTTCTTTAACGTGTGATTTAAGTTTATATTTCAGGCGCTCGGAGCAGTGTCTGTCTCAAACATGTTCAGCTTGTTTCTAGTCTTCAGACAATGCATGTCAGCCACGCTCAATACTTCCCCCTGCCCACAAGCCTTTCACATTCCACTGCACTAATCTCCAATATGATTGCTTTGTAAATACCAATGATGGCAGTTCTGTTATGAACATTTCACTTGTGCAATGTGCAAGAGCATAACACTGGTAAAATATTCCAAATGGGTAATAAAGTTTTTTTTTCTTCTTGGTGACCATAAGGCATGTTTGTGTTGTATTTGGTGTGCGACCTCTGACATATATAGTTATTGTAAGTCACTTTGGATAAAAGCATTAGCTAAATGAATAAATGTAATGTAAATAACTTTCTACTCCCACCACATGAACACTGCACAATACAATAGCTAAAGCTACTATCCATCTCCAATTTTAGTGTCAAGGATTTGAGGAGGACACAGTGATACATGGAAGAGCTTTATTAAACAAACTGTAAAAAGACTATATAACAGGAAAATCTCAATCCTCGCTGTTGCAAAGACTTGACCACACGTGATCAATTGAATAAGGTCATCTATGGTGAGTCTCAGGAGATTTGTCAGTGACCACAAACTTGTAAATGTGGGGGGGAAAGCTCCTTTACATGCTTGCTGTTGTGACAAAGTCCTTGCAGAGTTGCCTCTGAAAGGCCTAAATTAACATCTACAGTATACATCTATGTAATAAAATCAAAAAAGATTTCAGAGAATGTTTGAAAGAAGAGGGGGAATCGCTTTTGTAGAAACACGTAATTCTCAAGATACACCAGGATCTCCATGTTTTTCTTTAATCAACTCAAATGGATCTTGTGGCTTACAAAGTACAAAAACACAAAATGAAAGATAGTGAACCTAAAACAAAACTATCTTTCATACAAGAATGAACTAAATCACCTACCTTTGATACACCTAAAGGGAAAAGCAGATACTATGGAAACCTTCTGTAGCAGCTCACTTAAAGAGAATTTTGACAAACTTCAAAAGACACTCAAACTAAATATTAATATAATTTTTTTTTTTAGGAAAAAGTTCAAACAAAAAGGGTTGCCTACTTCATAAACAAACTGAGAAGCAGTCTAAATGTTTTGATGTTGAAAAAATTAATTGAAAAGCACGATGCACTGATGTGTTGCAACCCAAACAAGTTGATAACTAGCATGTTGATGTTACAGTGGTCGACTGCCAAAAAGAAAACCCTCACAAAGATCAAGATTTCTTACAGATGTTGAGACTGTCTGTGTGACAGGGCATGGTGTGTGTTGTGCTGTGTGTGTGTGTGTGAGTGTGTGTGAGAGACTGATGCTTAGATCACATTACTTTCTGCCCGATGGAGGCGGTGGAGGAGCAAACTGGAACGGCGAGTGCCCCATCAGGCCCATCATAGGGGGCTGGGGAAGGTTGAACTGCTGGGCCATTAGAGGCTGGGGGCCCGACGGAGGAGGTGGGGCCTGCCCCACTCCAACGCCCCCCGACCCAGAGCTGGCCCTGGAGCTGCTGTACTGATTGTTGCTGCTGCTGTTGTTGTTATTCTGGTACTGGTCGTATGAGTTGGAGCTGGAGCCATAGCTGCGTCCTCCGTCCCTGCTGCTGCGATCTCTGTAAGAGGAGGAAGATGAGGAGGAGCGTTCCCCGTCCCGGCTGCTCCCTCCACGGCTCTCACGTCCATAGCTGCTGCTGCTGCCGCGGCTGTCCTTGGTGCTGCCACCCACAGAACGCATTCTCCTGTCACACTCGTCCTGGTACATCAGGTTTGGATTGTTAGAAGTGGAGCTGCCACGGAAACGAGGACGGCCACCTGGAAATAAAGGATAGAGGAGGAGAGAGGACAAACTGCCATCAATCTGCTATGTTGGCCCATCAGACTAGAAACTATGTTAATGGGATAAAGCACTAAAGCTTCTTAATCATAGTCATGTACACTTCATGTTAAACTGTTTTGTCCCATTTTTCACAATACGCTAATACTAGAGACATCAGAGCAGGCAGATATTTCCCCAAACTAGAAAATCTCTTTACCAACTCAAAACAGATTCCTCAGCAGCGAAATTATTTAGCTACCATATAAAGTTTATAGTTATCTAATACAGCAATAAGTGTCCCTCACCACCTCCACCACCACCACGTCCATTATCAACAAGCTGGAGCAGTTTGGGATTGATGGCCTGCCGGGCCTCCTCCAGCACCCGGATGAGCTCGCGGGCCTGGCGGATGTTCCCCGGAGTGAAAAAGGTGTAGGCGGTGCCTTTGTTGGTGCTGCGGGCTGTGCGGCCGATCCGATGGATGTAGTCCTCCGATGAGTTGGGATAGTCATAATTGATGACAAACTTGACATCCTCAACATCTTGACATTTGATGCAGCAGTTGGATTGAGAGGAGGTGGTGCGATGGGATCAGTTGCAGGGATGGAAAAGACAAACACGAAAGTCAGAACAAAACTGACACTCGTGGTGAAATGAATTAATCAATTCACTATTTTAAGTTTTGTGCTTTTCGAACTGGGAACATTCAGACAGACAATACCTGCAAGACATCATCCTCTGAAAGAATCACTTACCTGTTAGGATCAACTATTTGTACAATACACAATTAGAACATGAATTCACTTACCATGCCAATTACAAAACAGGCCTCAGTTATTTAGCAATAAAGTGCTTGCACACGTGCAAATAAGTTACGTGCAGCCAGAGCTACAGAATTATGTGATGAAAAAAGTTAGTGGTTTGCTGAATAATCTGGAAAATAAGTGAAATTTAAAAAAAAAGAAAAAAGAAAAAAAAAAAGGGGGGGGGGGGGGGGGGCTTTTAAGAGGCAAGTGACCACCAGGTGATCACTGAGTAAAAGACAGATTCAGCGGTCTAAAAGGATTGCTGACTAATGGTTTAAGAATTTCTTTCAGGGGAAAAAATTAAGTTCAAAAACAAATTAGAGGTCTGTTTCTCATTACAAGTGACAAAGGGCTCAGAAAACACTGCTGATCAGAGGAAAACAAGTCTTGTTTTGGAAGCATAATGATGAAGACTGGTGGACAAGAAAATAGGGAGGGGAGCGGAGGAAAGGGGAGGGGGTGGTTGGGGTACAGTACTTACCCTGTATCAGAGATTTAGTGATGGCTTACAAAGTGACCCCTCTGTTGCCCTACCCATCACCAGTCCTGGGAGGTCTGCAGGGGTAGGAGGAGAGCGCAGAGGACAAAAGCAGTCCCTTCTCCCACCTCGCCACTCCTCCACAACACTCCCAAAGCTGGAAACAGTCTGAGCCAGAGCTCCAGCTGGACTGCGCTGGGATGCAGTCCTGCTCTAGTTCTATCTGCGCCTCTTCGTGTCATCCAGCCTTTTTTGACCTGGAGACATTACTGCTTTGTTTATGCGATTTCTAGAACAAGGTGATGGGTGGAGAGGCCTCTACTGGATCCTTTCATGTACACTTCAAGGATCTTAAGTCCCTACTCTACCATTTCTTACATTAGTGGGTGGCAGTGACAAGTATCTTAATGTGGTGAAGTGGTAGATTTTCTTAAGGGCTTTGATGGTCTTTGATTGACGCGGCTTGTTCCAAATGCCTCCCAGGTCACTTGCAAAGACAGTGACATCAACGAGCCCAACTTTTCAAGTTTAGTAACAAGAAACAGACACTAAAGAGAAGACGTGGATGCTTTCTGTCAGAGGGATCTGAGAGTGGGTTCTGCCAGGGACTTTGAGTCCTGACAGTTTGTACTAGTCCTTATGGAGTGATTTAGCAAGTCATCAGGAGCTGGTGAGGTATTTACAGACTGGACTGGTGGTCAAGTATGATGTACACAAAGACAAAATGGCATTTGAGGGGCGGGGATAAAAGCAGAACACACAGTAGATTTGGGGATAGGCAAAGGGACAAAAAGGACAGGGGTCAGAAATGGTTTAAAGAAAACACCAAGAAGATAACAGGAGACTGGGATAATAGGTTGAAGGCAGGAGGGTAGTGGAAAGAGCTAGAGAAAAGAGATGAATGAGAGAAAGAAGGAAACATTTAAGAAATGAGCAAAAGAAGGAGAGAAGTGATGACCAGGACAGAAAGTGACAGATGATGTGTGAGAGCAGCAGAGAGATCGAGTTAAAGAAAAGACAGTGAAAGGGGGGGAAATCGAGAGGTGGCTCCTCCAGGCCAGGACTCCTGCCAGCCAGGACCAGACATGACGTCCGCAGAGGGAGAGGCCGGCCGGCACAGCCAGTGGTGGGGGGTGTCAGGGGCTGGCATCAGGGGGCAGTTCAGAGGGGAGCCTCCAGTATAGCCGTCCATGCCCGGCTTTGGCCGCTTTCCACCCTCACTTCCTGGCAGTTGTCTCTTTCTCTGTCTTCTTGTAATGCACCACTGTATCTCAGCATAATCTATCAAAGTGTATTATCTGCAGGAGCAATTTAGGTGAAAATTTGATTTCCAAAGTTTGTAATTGGGAATGGAAATGTATCTTCTCAAGGACTGTGCAGGAAAGTTGTCTTAATCCATGTCCCATCACAATAAATACACAGATGTTGAAAACTTTGTCAAAACGTCTCTGACTGTCTGATTTAATTTGATCAGCAAATGCTGTGGTGCATCACTGTGATGATGGCATGGCCGAGGGGAGCCCACCCTCGTCCATACCCCCCTCTTCGCCCTCTAACCTGACAGCCGCCCCCGACCCTACGATCAAATTTGGAAGCCCAGCAGCACCCCGCGCTCGCCCCCCCCCCAACCTGTCGTCCAGGCAGCCAGTGTCCTGGAAGGGGGGAGCATTTTGTTTGTGGGCTCTGTTCTAGGTTTTCAGCGGTGATGGCTGTGTCTGGGACTGATTAATCAGGCCGTCTCTCTCCCCAAGTCAGCTTTCGATTTGTCATGCCTAGGTCCGGCTGCAGGCTCCAGAGGGCCTGTGTGCTTCTAGTTGCCGGAGAAGAGACTTGGAAACAACAAACAAAAACAAAATGAAAAGAAAACAAATGAACATAGAATTAGGTTAAAGGTTGATTGCCATCCTGTAAGGGGCTGCTTCACTAGCCTCACCCCTTACATCTTCATACTTTATTCAACATCATTCTTATGTTCAGTGTTTTTAATAGAGCAAAGTGGATAAAATCTCCACATGAAACCCAGCTTCAAATATGATATACTTCTTAGATACACATTTTATCTGAGAAGCATCACGTGGTTTTTGAGACAAAAGCAAATCTGTACGTCTTCGGTTGACTTTTGATCCTAAATCTACTGTAAATAA